GCGCGCTGCCGAGTGCAGGGCATGACGCGGCAAAAGCTGATGGCTACAGCAATCGGGGACGCGGCTGTCGAGCCGCAGACCGCGGTGAAACCGCGGCCAGGTGTTTACATTGAGAATGTAGGGATCAAGGAAGGACGGGGGGGCGAGGAGGAGCTGGAGGAAGAGGAGGAGGTGGTTGTGACGAGGAGAGGGGGGGGAGTGAATAAAGGAGGGGGAACTCCACGCGATGTGACGGGGCTCTCGCCGGCGACTGCTGCTCATCGCTGGCAGGTCGGCGCGCGAAACTCCGGTTCGGGGGGCGGGGGGATAGCGGGGGCCCGCCAGACCAAAATCGGCCCGAGAAGGCCGGTGAGATCCCGGTGAGGTTGCGATGAGATTTGGTGAGATACGCAGGATGTACCAGGCACTACAGCAAAATATTCGCGATGATACTCCGATGAAATCCCGATGAGATCCGATGGCGCTCCAGATTCGGCCACGCGCTGTTTTGGTCGGGTCTGGCCCCCTCCCCCCCCCGACCCCTCCCCGATGGCAGAGCGCGGCTCGCGCCTCTTCCTGTTCGCGGGTGAGATGCCGGCGTGGCCAGTTTGTTGATCGGGAGCGTCGGGGGTGGATCTGGCTCGTGTCCGACGGCCTTCGCGGCCAGCGGCTGATGGGCCCGACGGCCCCGCGCCCCTTCGAGCTTGTCGCGGTGGCCATTTTGGCGCTCGGGATCGTCGCGGATGAATTCAGCGCGTGCCCGGCGGTCTTCGAGGCCAAGGGTTCGCGGTATCGACGGCCCCGCACCCTCTCGCGTTTGTCGCGCTGGCACCTCGGCGAGGCGCAGCTGTCCGTAGCCTGTGCGGCTCCAGGGTGCGCCTCTAATTTGGACAAGCGGGTCATCGGAACTCTAGCCCGCCTTCGCAAACATGGATCGACAATCTCGGGGCGAAGATTGGGGCAGAGATTGGCATGCGCAACGATTGAGGGCAGCAGGACAAGAACAGGCCGGGGGCGATTTGCTCAAATACTTCCTTGCAATGTACGCGTCTTCCAAACAAGTGGCAGCTACAGATGCAGGCGTCAGAACTAGGTTCGCGCGCGGGGCTGGGTGTGAACGCGGCGCGCGCGACCATGCCATGCGCCCCAAAAGCGGAACAGGGAACTTCCATGAACACATGGACAATGCGATCCCCAGCAAACAAGAAAACGAATGTTATTGGATGGAGTTCCAGTTTATATCGAGGGCGTCGGTCGGACGACAAAACGCACCCCCACGTTGCCAGTGCATGAGTCGTTGCAGCATGAAAGTGAGAATGCACCGTCTCTGGCACCCGGAGTCGTGGAAAACGACGATGGGTTTCAAGAGTGGATTGACACTTATCAATGGCACCTTGGAGTCCGCGCGCGCCAGGAACAGCCGGTCCCGCGCGCGCCGCGCGCCGGCGGGATCCGATGTACCAGGAGCGATCGAACTGGAAGGGCAGATTCGTTGTTCGGTATGCTCTTCCATCTTCTGCCGCAGTCACAGAGGCTTTCTGTCGCATGTTTGGGGAAGTCCGAGTCCTGTCGGTGCGGTCGTCGAGGATGGTGTACGCATTGCCCCATAATGCTAGCGATTTCGTGGTCCGTGCGCGAGATTGTTCAAGGCCGATATCCGTCAATTCAGCATGATGGCTCACCGTGGCCCCCTGGTGATTGGAGGGGGGACTTTGCAGGTCGGCCTCTCAGGAAGGGCGTGCTTATTTGGATCCAAGGCGGTTTAATGGGAAAAGCTGCGACGTTCGGCCTGCGAAGGCTGGGTCGTGCATTTCATCCGCGATTCATGTGCTGCGCGCATTTAGAAAACATGCATGCGCATGATCCTGTGGTTCTCGATGGGGACCTCTGGGGCCAGACATTCGAACTGCATGAGGCAATGCCAGCAGCTCGAGCACGTAGCATTGGTATCGACTGAAGCAGACAGGCGCAATATTTACGCGGAAAGGGGGGCGGCTGGGTTGGGGCAAGCGGGAAAAACGGCATCCGAGGGCGAGCTCTCATGAGGGACGTGCCTACGCTGGGCATGAAGGCTGGTGATCGAGTGACCCCGCCCCAACAATTGTGCGACGTCGGCGACTTCTCAGTTGCCGCGCTGCCTCGTCTCGTTAGGTGTTGGCGATCGAACTGGCATGGCCAGGCGCGCATGGACCCCGTGCTCAATCGAAACCATATGTTCTCACCGGATCTGTATGCATCCCCGGTGCGCTCGCCTGAGTCGTATTTCACATTGTGCATCTAGGTATCCACTCCCGCTGTATTGCTGCTATAGTGTGGGCGCTGATTGATGCAGACGTGTTCGGGGTCATCGGGCCTGAAGATGTTTCGGCCCCCCAGTTCTGGAATGACTTTCGCGCATTCTACGTGATTGGCGCGACGACAGCGACGTGCCCCAAAACTACAGGGGCCAAGACCTAAGTCCAAGCATGATCGGCTCGCGTGAGTACCCGATGCCCAAAGCAATGAGTTCCGAAACCAGCGCTCTGCCCCCGTGGGCTTTTCGGTTCTGTCAGTTGTCTGGCGATCGCATGAGGCGTGGAGTCGCTCACTGAAGCATGCAGGAGCCTCCTGGCATTCATGCGAATATTGAAAGCAGCGCCCGTCCTAATCGATAGCGACTGCGACCTTGATGCTCGACTTGCGCACCCAGCGCGTCTCTTTCGTGGGCGAGGCAGAGTCCCCACAGTTATATATGAGTCATTTCTCAGTTCACCTCGCGTGGCGCTCTGTGGAGCACGGGAATCCGTTGGCGAGTGCGACGTGACTGGATGAAGCATTTAATTTGCCGGCAGCCGTGGCGGTACCGAGCGTGCACAGGGCTTCGTGGGAACGGAGGCTGTTCGAACGCGTGTCTCTGCAGGGGGGGTGGCGGTTGGCCATCGACGGTTTTTTGCACGGCCGCAGCTCGTCGCCAGACCGCCGCCCTCGCACGGGGCACTTCCGGCCCCGAAGCGATCGAAGCACAACCCCCTCGCCCTCGTGCGTTCCCGACCCTTCGACGCTGGATCCACAATGCGCTTTCGCGCTTACTCCGCCGACCACAAATCAAGCGCGCGAGCCGAGTAAGGGGCTTGCCGAGCAGGACTTGAAACCTCCGTGCAGGAACTGGCACTAGGCCGCCAGCGCTCAGGAGGCCTCGACAGACGCCCGCCGTGCTCGGGAGCGCCACCCGCCCCGCACCCCCCACCCAGAGGTTTTCCTTCTGACGCGTAGAAGTCGCGCGTTGGGAAGCGGCATCAAGAATCTCGGGAGTTGCAGCTCGCGGATTGATGGGGCGGGCGTAGACAGAGTCAGCGTGGCGCACCTGCTCGAGGTGCGGGCTTCCCTGAAGCCCGCCACCGCAACTGTAGACGCCCCCGCCCCCCCCCCTCATGTCTTCCAATCCCTGCGCCGAGCGATGCCCATTCGACCGCGACCCAAATGATGCCTCTTCCCGAATGGGGTTCGGACGGCCAGAGGGAGGATAGGGGTCGTCTACAGTTTCAGCGGTGGCTTTCAATGCGGCTACAGCTACACCGCGCGTGCATGCCACCTCGCTGAGATAGCCCCCCCCCCCCCCCCCCCCCCCCCCCCCCTGGCATTTGCACAGCGCCGTGAAGCTCAGCTTAGGCTAGCTCACTTTGCCAAAGCCCGATGAATACTGGTGGCTTCGCGCGATCATTTATCCGCAAAACGCGCCCCGTGCCTGCGAGCCGCCAGCGGCCGCTTCACTGTCAGGCGCCAGGCTCGAGGCCATGACTGGCGTCTTTCGAGGAGTGGGCGACGGCGAGGATGAGGCGCCAGATGAGTGCCCGATGAGTTCCCGCGGCGGAACCGATGATTTCCGATGAGTGCCCAATGAGTTTCGGTGAGTTGCCGGTTCGGTCGCGAAGGACCTTCTTCCCGCGGGGGAAGGGGGGGGAGTAATGCGAAAATCAGACGGGCCCCGCGCGTCTCTGCGCCCTCGCGCCGCCCCCCTGGGTGGGAGTGGCCCCCCCGCCCCATGCCGCGAGCTGATCTATTGGAAATCATCGGTGACTCTTCTGGGCCCGACTGGCTTGCAAACTGGCCCCCCCCCCGCCGTTTCGCCGCTTATGGGCAGGAACGCGCTCTCGCATCTGCGCCGGAAGTATTCTTGCTAGCGGATCCAGGCGCGCTGACGCACCGAGGCCTCGCAATGTTCAGCGCAGAGCATGCGCGTGCAACGCCGCCACAAGCCGAAAATGAACTGACTCCTTCTCCTCCTCCTCCTCTGGGCCAGCACCGACGAGGGCGATGGCGCCGAGCCGCAGTTAACGAGCCTGCTGGCGGCGAAGGAGACGAGATGTTTCAGCGCATGTGGGCCCGATAGCGCAGCGGAAACGTTCGCGGCGACGCTGGCGGTGGAGGGCCCGGGGGCGCTTTCGCCAATGGCCATGCGGGTAGGAATCGTGACCGACTGCTGACGTTCCTCGACGCGGCGAGAGCGCACTTGCTTTCCGAACTGAACGGGGCCCGTCTACCTGAAAGCGCTGGCAGATGACCGGGACCTCATATGATGACGAGTGCTGGCTGCTGCGGAAGGCTACGCACGGGCTACGCGTTGCTGGATCAGCGTTGATATGAAGGCGGGGGGCATCATGGCGAGGCTTCTGAATGCGAAGCAGGGCGAGCTCTTGCCATGAATGTACGCGGTGGGCGAGCTGGTCGCATGGAGGCATGCCGACGATTTCGCGGAGCTCGGCGATTGGAAGGAGTCGTTGGAGTCCACGGCCGGCGCATGAGAGCATGCCGTCGCGAAGGTCCGAGGAGTACGAGGTCCCGATTCATCTTGCGGGAACCTCGAAGAGATCGCGGCGCCCAACAGGATCGCGAGGTTGGTCAGGGCCACCAGCGTGGACTACGAGAAGATAGACGATGAGGCGGGCCCGATGCGCGCGGAGATCATCCCGGCACTGCTGTGTTTACAGGGCCGAGGCAGCTGAGGGCATCAGGTGGTGGCATCGCTTGGAGTGCGGCGACAGGAGATGGACGGAGATGAGCTTCAAGGCAGAGACCGATCCATGTACCGATCAATCAGCATGCGCATCCAGTGCCTGGTTCAAGGTCGACTTGATATACCGCGCGCGGCGATGGGGGCAGCACGAGCGATGCAGTGGCCGAAAGTTGGCGGATTGCAGGCCGCGAAGCGCATCGGCCGCTACCTCATTGGCAAAGCGAAGCTGTTGGCGAAGTGCGCGCAGCAGGCAGATCGACGAGTGGCCTTCTGCACCGATCGTGAATTAGTTGGCTGTGTACGGACGAGGAAGTGGACATTATCATGCGCGGCGCGGATCGGTCAAACGTGGATTCGGGGCAATTCGACGACCCAAGGCTTCAATTCGTTGCCCGCGGTAGAAGTGAAGTTTCATGCGCTGACGACGGGGGCCAACATCGGTCTTGGGCTGAAGATTCTCGCCCGCGACGCGGGCGCGGACCTCGAAGTGATTTTAATGTGCGACGTGGCGGCGGGCAAAGGCATTGCTGGGCGTCGTGGTGTGGGTAGGGCGCGTTTGCCATTTGCGCGCGCCCCTCCTTTGGCTGCAGACGGCTGCGCAGCGGGAGAAGCTGAGAGCGACCATGACGCCGGCATTGAGATACTGGGCGGCATCGGAGCCAAGCACTTCAGAGGTCCCTCCCTTCCTGGGGAACTTCTTCAAGATGATGGGTTTCGCACCCGTCGTGGACGCCCGTCGCGAGCGCTTGAGCGATGGCTATGAGACACCTGGCCGCCGTAGACCGTTCGGGTTCTCTGTTTTCCTTTGAATTTGGTTCTGGAATCTTGACGCGAACTGGTTCGCATCGCTCCGCTGAGTTTGAGCCGCCCGAAGAGGCGGCGACTGAATCGTTGCGACCGACCACGCGGAAGACGCGAACATGCAGCCCCATAAGGAGAGAGAAGGATGAGATACGGGCCGTATGGCATTGACGTTCCTGGCTGGACGCGCGCCTGCAAGGGGGGCGCGCGGTGTATCAGTCCTTCCGTGCGCCGGGGGCGGGGGGAGATCGACGTCGAGGTTTTCGCTTTTCTCGGCGAGGACCATCGAGGAGCATTTTGGGCCACCTTGCGGGCAAATGCATTCACAATATCAACGAATACGCGGGGAAGGGGCGTCCTAGCGATGTCGAGAGGAGGAGGACAGGATGCCCATTCCAGCGGGCGCGGTCTGCGTTCTGGGACGATGGGAGGAGGAGGCAATGCTTGTAGGGTAACAGCAAAACGTGAACAGCCCAATCGCTGGAAAGAGCAAACGTACGATCCGAACTTCTTTCGAAGGGGGGTCGTGAAGAGTTTTTGTTGATGGATCAAGCGCACCAACCGAGCGTATTGGGATTCAGCCCTGGAAACAGCGTTGCCCCCGTAGCGACGTCCAACCAATTCCTCCTGGGCAGCACTCGGGGAGGATGGGTTCACTGGAGGCAAGCATGTCTGGAGGCAGTTCATGCCGCTTCAATGGACGCCATCGTCTTGCCTTCAATGAGTTTATCGATGCCGATTTCGCCATGGGCCCTTCCTTATGGGCAACGTTGAAAGGGGGGATGGGCGCAGCGGGGCAACGCTGATCTTCGAGGGTTGCGTTTTTTTTCCTTTTAAATATATATATTTATAAATATAATGTTTGTGGCTTCCTGGGAGTCGCTCAGGTCCGGGATGCGCTCCAGCAGCTGCGCATCGCCGGGGGGCGTTTGGTGGTGCGTGGATCTTCCGAGAGACAGTCGGCGATTATGGGTTCAGCGGGGCAACGTTAATGGTTTCGAGGCTTGCGGTTTGTTTTGCAGTTTCGCCGTTTCTTGGACGTTGTCCAGGTTCGGGGTGCGTTCCGGCAGCTGCGCCTCGCCGAGGAGCGTTGTTGGTGGTGCGTGGATCGTCCGAGGGACCGCCGGAGACCAGATTTTTCGACCCAAAAGCCAGTCGACGAGGATCATCCTGGGGCAACGTTATCTAGGCAGGAGGGGACGAACACACGCACACACACACACATACATACATACATACATACATACATACATACATACATACATACATACATACATACATGCATGCATGCATGCATGCATGCATGCATGCATGCATGCATGCATGCATGCATGCATACATACATACATACATACATACATACATACATACATACATACGTACATACATACATACATACATACATACATACACACACAAACACACATACACACATACACACATACACACATACGCACACAGAAATAATTCATCGTCGGCTACGAGGAAATACGGAAACTATGGGAAGTGGGGGGGGAAGATGAAAGCCCAGAACATGTGAGAAAATATTGGGAATCATGGGATTTGCATATATTTATTTGCGTGTCCCAGGGCCACCCTCTCGGGGGTGGACAGATTTCCTACCCTGACACGTCGATTAAGGAATTTGCCGTTTTCGGTTCGCGAGAGGGCGTTCCGGCCGTCATTTTTGCGGGTCCAGATACGTGGGTTCCGGCCCCAGGCCGTTTTCACTAAAGGGAGGTTTACTGAAGGGAGGTTTGTCCACCGCCGACTCTCCGTCCTCTGAGTTTGGAAGACGAAAGCCCAGAACATGTGAGAAAATATGGGGAATCCTGGGATTTGTCTCCATTTATTGGTGTAGCCCAGGGCCCCTCTCAGTCCTCTGGGGGGGGGGAGGAATGGGCGCAGCGGAGGGATGCCGACCCCCAAGCGCCAGTTGGTCGCCGCTGGGGGGCCCCACGACCCGCCCCGCCCGTGACCCTGCGGGTTTGGTGCGTCAGGGGCCCATCGCCGTCGTCGTCGCCGTCGTCCTCGTCCTCGCTTCGTCGTCGTCGTCCTCGTCGTCCTCGTCGTCCTCGTCGTCGTCGCCGCCGTCGTCGTCGTAGTCATCGTCGTCGTCGTCGCGCTGGCGGGCGAGGCCCGTGGCGGGCGAGGCCCGTGGCCCTTCCTCCCTTTCGGGGGTGGACAGAACCCCCACCCTGACACGTCGATTAGTGAATTGTCCGGTTTCGGTTCTCGAGAGGGCGCCGCGGCCCTTTTTTCTCCAGGCTTGCGCCCGCCAGGTTTGGGCCCGAGGTCGTTTTCGCTAAGTCACGTTTTACAAAAAGGGGGGTCTGTCCATCCCTGATCCTTCCGAGCCGATCCCTCTATAGCGTTGCTTCTCAATTCCCTCCTGGTTCCGGCTTGGGTGAGATGCCCAGACGTGGCCGTTTCTGTCTCAAGTTTTCGCTCCTGGAGCCGGTGTCGGGCCTCGGGACGGTCAAACAAACATTCGGGTAGTCAAAGCCGGCCTGAGGGAAGGGGTAGGGTGGTATGGCGGCCACGCATCGACATAATCGAAAGACCGTGTTCTACCGCGGTTGGCGGAAAACCGGAGGGGGTCACTACCTGTTCGAATCTCTCCCCCCCCTCCGGAAAACCGGGGGGTCATTACCGGTTCGAACTCCCCCCCCCCCCCCCTCAGTCCATCATGAAAAGGGGGGGGGTCACTACCGGTTCGACCCCCCCCCCCCTCGAAAACCGGGGGGGGTCCTTACCGGTTCGAACCCCCCCCTTCCCCCTCGAAAACCAGGGAGGGGTGCGGACAGTGGTGGGGACGGTGGTGGTGGGGACAGCGGGACAGTGGTGGGGACAGTGGGACAGTGGTGGGGGCGGTAGTGGTGGGGACAGTGGTGAAGGCGGTGGTGAGGACAGTGGTGGGACAGTAGCACAGTAGGGAAAGTGGTGGGGACAGTGATGGGGACAGTAGGGACGCTGGGACAGCACAGTGGGACAGCGGCGGGGACAGTGGGACAGTAGTGGGTGCAGTGGGGACAGTGGGACAGTGGTGGGGACCGTGGGGAAAGTGGGGAGAGTGGGACCGTGGTGGGACAATGGTGGGGAGAGTGGGGACATTGACACACTGGTCGGGGCACTGGTGGGGACAGCGGGGACAATGGTGGGAACAGTGGGGACAGTGGGACAGTGGTGGGGCTGGTTGTGGTGGGGACAGTGGTGTGCGTTCTCGCTGGTCATTGGTGCACCAGTGGCTCTGGCATGCGAGGAAGCAGGAGGAGGTAGAAAGTGCTAGGAGGAGGCAGGAGGAGGTGCGAAGTTAGAGGAGCAGGACGCAGTATGAGGGAGGAGCCAGGGTCAGGCAATAGCATACAGGAGGAACATTCGAGGGAACAGGAAGTACTTAGGAGGAGGTGAGAGGAGGAACACAACACGCTGTCAGCATCCCGAATCGGCGCTGAGGAAGAGGAGGATGACGGCAGGAGTCATCCATAAAATTCCGTTGTAATTTTGTTCGTTGTGGGAGCGTCGAGGGGGTTTCTTCGGATCATATTGGAGCTCTCTTGGACAATTTGGAGACCTTGGAGGCATTTGTGGGGCCCTTTTGGGGTGTCTCTTTCGGCCCTCTAAGGGCCCTCTTGGGCGCCTTTTGGATACCTATTTTGGGCCTTAGGGTCCTTTGGGGACCACCTTGGATGCCATCGCTCAAAGAAGGGAGGGTAATAGTTACCCCCCGCACCCCATGCGGATGATGCAAACTCGCCTCTTTGAGCTCTCTTGGGTTGCTCTTGGGGCCCTCTTGGGCGCTCTTGGGGTCGTTTTTGGGCCCTCTTGGGCCCCTCCTCGAGCTCCCTTGGCCCATCTTGCAGCCGTCTTGAGGCCTCCAAAGCCAACTGGAAGATAATAGGCGAAAGGTTTTGGAAGGATTCGGGCCTCTCGGATGGGAGGACTCTTTGGTATGTTCCGTAGCCACGTGGAGCCGACTTGGAGCGTTTTTGGAGCGTTCTTGGAGGCTCCTGTACGCATGTTGGAGGCTATATTGAACCATCTTGGGATTACCGCAGTGACCTTGCAGGCCATCTTGGGCTATCTGGGACCTTCTTGGCGCCATCTTGAGCCATCTTGGACGCTCCAAGCCCTCGTGGATCGCGCCCTCCAAACCCAGGGATAGGGGGTGGGGGAACCGCCTCCCCGAAGCCGAAGAAGGGGCTTAGCAGAACGAGCTGGCTGGGCCACTCACGCCCTGAAGGGCTGGTGGCATTTGGCTCTTCATAGCCTGTAATCGTTCTTGCGAAGACCTCCCAACCTGCACTGCCCCCCACTCCTTCCGCCCGACCCGAGCCTCGCCTCGTCGTCGGCGCCCTTTTTGAGACATGCTGCGAGGCGCCCCTCTGCCTGCAGCGTAGGGGCAGAGCCTGCCCTCGACAGCGGCTGCGAGTCGAGGAGACCGCGTCTGTGCCCCAGAGGCGGGGGCCGACACGAACCCGAGCCTCGGGCCCAGCCGCCTCATCGTCCTCTTCATTCTTTTTCTCCTCCTCCTCCTCCTCCTCCTCCTCCTCCTCCTCCTCCTCCTCCTCCTCCTCCGTGGTATCGCCCGGACGTGTGCATGCTTCCCTGCGAGGACCAGCGAGGATCATTGACGTAAATTGTTGGCGTTCCGCGCTGATTTCTTGGATCTGCGTTGGGACTGGCGGCGCCTCCAGCGTGGCGCGCTCGGGTCGGAGCC